AATTGCATGTGTCAAGTCACTCCTGCAGGTAATAAAAGTACCCACTTGTCTGTAGAGACGCTCCCAGGAATCCTGTGTCATCAGACGGAATACAGAGAGGAAGGCCCAGCCAAAATGATCAAAACTTGTATAACCAAAGTCAGGATTCTGCCCAATCTTCTGGCAGGTATAGTTTTCTGGGCACTCTTTCCTAACCACAAAATAAATATTAAACAATAATTACTTGGAGATTTAATGGCACCTTGAAACACTCAACAGACAACACCAAATTTGTTCAGTTTATCTGAAAGTCCATTTCATTATTCTCCAATTGAATTCTGCCAGAAGGGCTGATTTATATCAGAAGGGTTGATTTATATCAGACCATCGTAGAAAGCTATTTGTCTAATCAGACAAAACCAGATAGAAACCTCAGTTTAGGACTAAACAAAAAGTTTCCCCTTATGTAGGATATGTGCAAACAAATACACTGAGAGGGGGAAAGTGGAATTACCTTTACTTTTAAATAATTCACCAAAATGAAGAGAGGAGAGTTTATTAGTATCTAATAGGTTTTACTGATCTCTTCCTCTCCTCATTTATATCACTCTACCTTACCATTACATTCCCTGTAATTAGCAACAATGTACATATGCAACTGGTTACATCCTTGTACTTCATTCTTTTCCTGATGTGAAGTACTTGGCTTTTAATTTAATCGCATATACACACCCCATCCTCCTGAAAAATCATCACCATTCCTTTAGACCGTAAATAAAACCCCAGTACATCTGGAAGAACAAATTAAGAAACTACGAAAACTACTTTGTTCACTTACTCGGGATCTGAACTGAACCCACAGAGCAATATGTCAGAAGAGCCATGTATTCTGTAGCAGATATCTAATAAAAAAATAAATCAAGGAGTCATAAAATCAGAAATTGTCAGTTTCCACCACCTTCTGAAAGGAAACCACACATTTACTGCACTTTATAAAAGCTCTGGGAAGGATCCTTTCTCAACAAAGGACATCCAGGGCTGATTCTCAGCAATCTGCCTCTATGAAAGATTAAAAAATAAGACAACTATTTACTGCACAACTCACAGTATAGGATTTCATTTGGTCTCTGGTAAAAATAAGAATGTTTGTGAGAAGGAGGCAAAATCCCTGAAATACAGAAGAAGTGATGCAAAAATAACCATTCCCTGTGCAGTACCCCTAAAATTAGGATCCCTGTGCAATGAACAGGCAAAAAGGCAAATGCTTATAGAAAACTCAGCTCCATCTATCCCACAGACTGCTGATCTTTCTCCAAATCTGAGATTCACTAATTTTACATTCTGTTGTTCCAGAGACTTCATATTAATACTCGTGCAAATGGAAGGGTTTCCCTTCTTGGGAGAAATACATGCAACCATGGTTTAACATTCCTCTGAAATTTGAGACATTCATAGGAAGATACACGGGTTATGTAAAGGGAGAAAAGAACAACATTTACCTTCATCACTTGGTACATAGATCTTGGGATCCTTACATAAGGAGTCATTGTACACAGTATTACTGAGGACGCATTTGGATGTTAAATTGCCCATAAAAAGCTGGAGGCCTATCAGAGCAAATATACTCAAGCAAAATACAGTCAAGATCAACACATCAGCAAGTTTCTTAACAGATTCAACAAGTGAATTTACAATGATTTTCAGACCTAGAAAAGGAAGATCCAAGAATATGCAAAATGAGAAGAGGAATGCAGTGACATTCCCATATGACAAGACACAGAAATTGCAAGTAGGTTAAAAACAATCAGAGTCAATGGGTTTGCAACTTTGAGTATCAAATGAGGTAAAACAAAGCACATAAGTGAGTAAGGCATTTTTCCTTAAATTTTCTAATCATATCTTCTTTGGCTTCTGTTTATTACTAACACTAATTTTGCCA